GTGAGTAAATGATGACACAATTGTCATTTTTGGGTGAGTGAACTATACCTTTAATAATTTATTTTATTATTACTAATATGGACATATGAAATTATTTATTTAATTAAATGATACTCTAAATAATAAACTAAAACTGCCAGTAGATTCATTATTTAATGAAATTATACTTTAAATGATAAACTAAAACTGCCAGTAGGTGGTGGTAAATGTCTTAATGATTAAGTCATCGAAGTCATTTATTCATTCGATTCGTTCAAATGGCTGATTCATTCAGGAGTGAAGTAAATGGTTCTTTATGAACGGTCCATTGAATCATTAGGCTTGTTAGACTTGAAGCGGATCAGAACGATGTGTGACATCAAAGTACCGCAAGAGCTATAGAGAGCAGACAGCTCCTTATGCTTTTGAATCGCTCTTGCGGTACTTTGATGTCATACACCGATCGGTCTGTGCAGCACCACTTCAAATCCAAAGTGCCTATGGCCAATGGTTCATCGCGCCAAATGGTTCACCCAATTCGTTCAAAACGTGTATTAAGAAATAAAATGATTTCTGAAGTAATAACCATAGCTAACTGCTGTTGTGTCAACACGAGACTAAGCAATGTCATTCAAGATACTCCTCTCACACTCAGGGGTGTAAATCTCGTCTAACAGTTGGGGGGCGGGGGACAATAAACATAACATTTCTCAAAAGCAATTTTTGAAGGGGACACAAATAATACAGCTAAAATTGTACTTGTAAGGATATGTATACACAGAGGAAAGCCTTACTATTAGTGTAGCAGGTAGACCGTGCCAAATTAGACAACTTCAAGCTGTTGTGGTCGCACCTGAACAGCAGTCGTGTCCGTTGTAGACATTACTATCCATCAAGCAGGTAACGTTATTATTGCTAACATAGCGGACTCATCGAAAAATACATTGGTATTAAACATCTGTATTAAAGAGAAAATAATCACTTCATCCGATGTTTAAGTGAATAAAATACCCTCGACAGCCTTACTTACTGGAGTTCCACAACTATTGAACTTGTTCTCTCTCACCAGACTTGTGTGTGTGTGTGTGTGTGTGTGTGTGTGTGTGTGTAGGTGATGTAAAAGAGGAAAGCAGGCATTTGGTTGTTTTACTACTTACACAATTATTTAAAGTATAAAACATTGTTATTTACAATACACAGTGTGGTTTTTAATCATATTTTTAGGGGGACAACCCTCAGATGGGGGAGTCCTGTCCCCCCGACCCCCCCAGGATTTCCACCTATGCTCAAACTTCAAAACTCTGCATCCTTGAACATTGCACTTTCCGCTATTTAATGAGGTAAACATTTACTTCTTGGTTAAAGAAAAACAAAACATTGTTTTTTTTCCCTAGGAGAACAGGATTTTCCAGGACATTTTACATTTTCTATTATTTTTACATGGATTATTCAGTTTTTCCAGGTTTTTCACACACAAAAATAACCAACAACAATGATAATGTAATGTCAAACATCCTGTAGTGCTTCTGGGTTGTGCTAAACTTACGTGGGTTTCTCATTGGTGATGAGCACTTTGACCTTATTGAGGGCCTTTTTGGCACCGGTAGGTTGAGCCGCAGCAGGTTTGCTATGGGCAGGGCTGGAATGAGGACTGGCGATATAAACCTTCTTACCTCCACTTCCCGGCGGTTTAGAGTGTGAGAAATCTGTGATGAACACTATACCCTCGCTGGTTAGCACTATGACATAGAAAAGAACAAATAGCAAAAATTAGAGAAACAGTTTAGTAAATTGGTATTTACTTCATTAAACTACATTACACCATATATTATGCACCATACTAATAACTTTTATTAGTGATGCACAATACCATTTTGTACTAAACAAAGATACTGCAACCATTACATCAGCAATGCTGAAAGGTTCAGTACAGTACAGTTAGACTAAGTGGAACATCACATAATGTTTAACATAATAATTTTTGTTAGATTTATTGAATTAAGCAAAGTGTCCCAGCTGTGTGAATCACTTTAAACAAATCAAAGAGAAAGACCAAATTCAAAAGATTTGTTCGCAATTTAAATATCACTTCCAGCAACCGTATATGTGCATCCCTAAGTACTATTATGAATATAATATGATAGAATACATACATGCCAGATTGGAGGGCTCAAAGGGGTCAAAGGAGAAAGACAGGATGTTCTCAGCATAGCTCTTCTTCCACAGCTTGGTGCCAGTGTCTCCATTCCACAGAACAATATAGTTGGGAGGGTGGACAGCCAGAAGAAGATCACGAGAAGCATCCTGAGTCCACAGCCAGTCCATATCTGATGCAAGGTATCAACATACACAAGTATCAATATCAATGAAAGAAATACATCAATATAAATGAAAAATACACAGTTATGTC